AAACAATATTGGGTGGGTTTAAAAATAAATGGGAGTAAACAAATGGACCTAAAAGTAAAAATCCCTATTTTATAATGGTTGCCTAAAAGGTCAAATTGGTCAATGTACTAGGGCTTGATTCTCACAAACAGAAATTTATAATTCATTTGGGATATTATTATTTGTTCATGTTACATTCGAACTTTTATATGATTAAGGTTACATCATATAACGAGCACAAATGTTGTTGTATAATATAGTATGGGTAATCTTACCATGGTGACCATAAACACTTTTCACTACAAACTTCAAAACCAACCAAACACAAGAAAAATAGGAAATGTCGCATCAACAAAAGTTTTCCTTTTTTTCCATGCGAACCAAACACAAGAAAAATAAATACATTGGATTCCCACCATTTATTTTGTGCGAACCAAAGCTAAATAATCTATTTCTTGGAAAAGTTTGAAAAACTCAAAACTTGTGTTTTTGTACATGGAAATGCATTTCCCTATATCTAGGAAACGAACCAAACAGCCCCTAAAGAAAAACTTGGTATCAAGCTCTACCGATCTATTGGCCAAATTTTCAAAAGCGCAACTTGCTGGTTGTTCTGTTAGGCGAAAATTCTCCCTTCTACTTATGGTGTCAAATAGAATTTCTTTAACTTTAGTTGGGAGTATAACTGTTGGAAATAGATCTGAAATAGGTTTGAGCAAGTTCTTGGCTATTGGAGAATAAGAAGTTAGTGGGCTTGGATTTTAGTTGGAGCAGGTTGCGGGTCTAAACTTGTTATGAAATGAATTAGTAAAGTTTTAAATAATGGGGTTAATTATTGGTGTGGGTATAATGGAAAAATTATATAATTTCATTAAGGGCATGTTTGGCAATCTTGAAAATTAAGTTAGGACTGAACCTGATCCAATTTTAAGTGGTTTCTTGTTTGACAAATGAAAGGGCTAGACTTGGCCCAATTTATTGTAGCTTAAAATTGGCTACTAAACTAATTTTTTTGGCGTGAGCGTGACGGGGGCGGTGTGGGGGTGGGAGTAGGGGTCTAGTCTATGATATTCGAATACTGTCCCTATAAGTTTGAAAACATTAGAAAATGCTCTTTAAATTTAGGAGTTATTAGAAAATCCATTTAACTTTGATATTTTATCAACAAACCCCTCAAACAGTGACTCTTTTGGGGGCTTGTCTTATGAAATCTCAAAGTTAAAAGAAGTTTCAAATAAAATATTAAAATAAAAATGAGTTTTCTGATAATCCCTATACGTAAGGGTTTATGATATTTTAAAAGTTATTAAAGTTATATGATAAACGTTGAAAGTTAAGTGGGATTTCTTTGCATCTAGCCAAATAATTACTTAAATATTAAAATAATAAAAAATTATAGAAAACTACCATAAAATAAAGTAGTCTGAAGCACCATAAAATTTTTAGTTTTCATGTCACCGCATGAAAATGTGCACACTTAATAAAGTATCATCAAGCTATAATTTCCATCCATATTTGTTAAATAATAGTATAAAATGGCATAATATCATCTTTATAAGTTTCTAAAAGAGGCGAGTGAGAGGTGTTTGGAGGGAATTAAAACTTTTTAGGCAGTTAACAAATTTGGTGGGATATAAAGTGTTTTTAAGAATGGGAAAATATAACAATAGATTTGTAGGTCCCACAATGAGGATGTTTTAGAGATTTAGTATACTATTTAACATAAGATGGATAGAAATTTTAATATGGTGGCATGTTGTTAAAAATGTATATTATCATCGTGGTTCTATGAAATTTAAAAATTGTATGGTGATATAACGAAAAACAATTATATTTTGTGATGGCTTCCTTAGGGTTGGGCGTGGGTCTAAGCGATTTAGACCCATGACCCGACCTGTCGAGTTTAAGGTTGGGTCGGGTTCTACTCGGGCTCGCTCGGATCAGAGTGGACCAGATATATTTCTCTAATCCCGGTTTTGAGATTAGACTCGACCCATGACCCGCCTAGAGGAGGGCCGAGTCGGGCCCGACTCATGGCCCATGGGTTTTTTATTTTTTCTAATTTTTTTATTTTAAATTTCTAAAATATATCAACTTTGTGTTAGTATATATAAAATTATTTTTTCTATTCTAATCTTTATTTAAAATGTTATATATACACGCACATGGTACAAAGATAAACATCACATAGAAAAACATCACAAGTACAAAGATATACATAAACATCACAAACATGGTTCGGACTTTCAAGGAAGACTTGCGTTCACGTGAAGTTAATAACTTTTTCTAGTTTAAATTTAAATTATAAATACAAGAGAAAAAAAAAAGAAAAATTGTTAAGTAAAAACCAAAAAATAAATATCATATCATATCATCATACTCCATTTAAAAGCACGAGTTCGGAAAATCTTTTTTAGACAAATATACCCCTTTATAGTTTGAACTATCCTATCTATAATCAAATTCTAATTTTGAATTTAATTTAATGACAATTTTCGTGAGAAATTGCTTATTCATGAGCTAAATCAAACCCGTAATCTGTTATTTTCATGATAGGAATAAGTAATTACACAATTATCCGTAACAGATTTGATATTATCATAATAACAGACCATTTATCTGTAATCTGTTCTTAAATCCGTAATAAAAGATTATTAAATCTGCATAATAACAGTGAAATTATCATAATAACAGAACTTTATCATAATTGAATTTTGAACATTTATCATGTGTTAAATTTAAGGGGAAATTGCTTGGGGAAACCAAATTAAGTTGGGTCATTCATCCCCACCCCAAGCCCAAAAAGCATAACCAAAAAGCCCTTTTATAAAAATATTAGTGCAACAAACCCCCAAACGCTGTATAATCCCACTACCCAATGAACTCATTCCCAAATTACCCTTCCCTTCCCAATTTAAAACCAAAAAAAAAAACCCTATACTTCATGTCATGCATTCACATTCTTTGGTAAACACATATATTAAAAACAACTCATTCACACAAATATCATGCATTCTATTTCACACAATTAACTAAAATTTAGTAAACATGTACCCTATTTTCTGGTAATTATACATGTAACGAATTATCAAAAAAATTATCATTCTACAGATATCATTCATCACATTAAGCACGAAGAAATAAGTCAAATGCCGACGTCCAAGCAGCAAAGTTGCCGAAGACAGAGAACCCACCGTAGCCAACAAAATGCTCCGAACCAGAACAAGTTCGAGTAGGTAACACCAAGAATCAAAGGCCAGAAACCCACCAACAAGATCGTGGAAATCAAATTAAATAAATCACGGCGGAAAATGAGGCGGGATCAGATAGGGAGAAGCCGATTTCACACAAAATCAGTCAAGAAACCAGCCTCGGGAGAATCTAGGGTTTCAACAAAAAGCCCCGACCCCAAGTAGAAGAAGACGAAGGGCGGGAGAAGAGGCGCGAAGACGAAGGGCGGGAGAACGGCGATTCCAGATTTAGGGCTTGATTTCGTGACCTCTAGGAATCAGAATCGACATTGAAGCCAATATGTCAGAAATCTCGCCCAAATCCGCTGAAACTTCTCCGATTTGGGTTTCTATAAAAAACTCATAATGTTGCTACTTCTAGGAATTGGTAATCCCAATTTTTTTTCTGAGCCAAACTTTAGAATAGGATTCACAAAGAATTCAAAAATTACAATTTTGCCACTGTCAGTCCCCAATTCCTAATCCTTTTCTATAAATTGGTGAAACAAACAGCCCCTAAGATGACTATACTAACATGAAAGTTTTGCTTAAGAGCTCTTACAGATAATATCCCAAGTTTTATGGATCAACACAATACTGTAGTTAGAAGTTTGAATCATGGTAGGTCATGGTCTTGATGTTTCTCAACTTCCAAACTATATGATGTTTTGTTTTTGTTTGCAATTAGTTACACAATTAGTTTAGAAAGAAGTTTTTTAATATACAAAATAGGGTAGATTATACCAAATTCTCAATAAGTTT